TCGCTTTATGTATCCCCCAATTGTAAGTCGCTTTGGATAAAAGCGTCTGCAAAATGACTAAATGTAAATGTGTAAATGTAAATATATATCAAGAGTCCCGTTGAAGTTATAAAGATGTGCTTTAGCCCCTTACTCAAGAAATTAACAGACGATCATTTTGATATGAAACTCAACACCAGCAAGGTTACATATTACCAGCTAATGATCGGATCATAAAGCATGCATAAAGCATGTTCATGTTCATATGCGTGTTCATGCATGTTCTGCCTTTTTGGGGTTGTTTGCAGTTCGGGGAAGCTTGCTTGTTGGATGTGGAGTCAGGGGCAGATCTAGAAAATAATTTTTAGGGTGGCATGGGGTCTATGAGGGGTGGCAACACCAAAGCAAGCCCCCATTCATAGTTTTTGGGGATTTCTGGTCTGACATACACAGTTGTGTTCACAAATATTGTATTACCATTAAGTAATCATCTATACAGTTTAAAATGAAAAATAAATAGCAACATTTCGATATTCATCATGGCACCAAGTCAATTACAATATAAAAAAACTTCAACAGGTTATAAATGTTTCTGAGCTTTTATCACCAAAGAAGACATGCGGTTCTATTAAAATTACATAGGCTACTTAGATGGTATAATCACGTTTAGTGCAAGTTTAAGAGCAACAAAAACTTTTGAATTTCCTAACATTAGAAAGAAATACAATAATATCAAAGCACTGAAACTGGATCAGTTTTGAAAACAATGTTTGATTTTCTGTTATTAACAGAGGTGGGAATGTCTGTAATCACCCAGAACAAACTCAATCAACTATATACTCTAGCAACACCCCAGCAACTGCGCAAAATGCCTCACATCTCTTGCAAAATGAAGCACTGCATTCAAAATATCACAAACACATCTCAAAAGCAAACATTTGCAAACACCTTTGCCATAATATTAATTCCTGTTGGATTTTTGTGTGCTACATAGAGAATTGTGTGTTGTGTTTTGCAAATTATGCAATTGAAAATTGAATTGCAAGTTATGAAATTGAAAACTGAGTCAAAGGCCAAAAATTAGTGTATGGTTTTGCAGATTTGGTGTGTGGTTCAGGTGTTTGAGTGTCAGGTTTCAGAAATTGTGTGACAAAGATTTTGTGTGTAAACAGTTGAAAAAAACTGTAAATGCTTACACACAATTCAAATACACAGATGACTTTCCTGCCCAGTAAACACTGAGATCAATAACACTGTAACAAAAACTCTTACTAGGATTCAGGAATTATTTTTGCAGCTCAATGTCTATTACAGTATACATAAATTAAATTACAGACACAGATGTATAATTCAGCAATGAACTTTTGGGGAAAATAATTTTAATTTTACTACTGTAAAGTATTCTTGCAGTAGATGAAAAGCACTAGAAAAATTCAAATACCAAAGAATTGTATGAACTTGGCATGCACCAAAATACAGTACAGTAAAAAATCAAATAAAAAAAAAAGTAAATTTAGCATCATCTGCACATTTGGCCAAATTTCATTAACGTATATACAGTACTATAGCATTTTCTTGGTCTCCTGACACGAGACTAGCTATATCTCTAGGCAGTCATTTCTCAGTTCTGCAAAAATGCAGTTCACATAAAAAATGGTTACAAATAAAATTTGACAGTCACATGCTTGAAGGTGTACAACATGTGCTACAGTTTACTGTACATATAGAATAGTGACATTTCCATTATCTAATGTATCTTACTGGTACTGTACTGTAATTATACTGTATGTGTAAGTATAAAACCCCTGTAGATGATTGGCTCAGCTCGAGCACTCTCCATTGTTAGCATGCAGAGATTCTGATTGGTGTGTCATCATCAGTTTTGCTACCTAATGTTTAACTACTCATTGTTAAACTTTTTGAGAAATGTGTCTTTGTTTTGAAAACTGAATTATGAGTTTGGGGGAAAAAGTGGCAACTAAAATCAGTTATATTAACAATCGAGAAAACTGCAATACGACTAGATTCTTACCTAACTCTGCTATTAGTTTCCGTGATCGGCATCTTCTTCTTGATTTCATGTTATTGTTACGGCTTATATCCATGATGAAAGTGGAGCGAGCGGTCGGAGAATCGGATCACCAAACAATTACGCAATGAATCTCAGACATAGCCAATCCGCATGGGATTAGATTTCTCAGAGGACTTCTGAGTTACCTGAAAAGCAATAATTATCTGATTCACGAACAAATGTAAAAACTATTCGTTAGGGAACTGGGCCGCGCTTTGTGGTTTTAACTCAAAAAGATCTGATTCATAAGAGTCATTTGTTAATGTAAAAGTAGCACATGAAACACTGCTTACATTTATATTTTATTCTGTGATAATTCTGGGGTGGCAGGTGGGGTGGCCACCCCGGTAGATCCGCCCCTGTGTGGAGTGTTGTGTATTATTGGTTAAATATAACAAATAATTGTGTCTAACTGGTCTGGCTGTTACAAGATGGTAGTATGCGGTTTCAAATTTATCAGTCATCTAACTACAAAAGCAGGTGAAGGATTAAAAGTCTAGAGCACTGAGGAATAACAAGCTTCTTATTTGTTTATTGCACAGGCTTTTATACAGACAGCCCAATGTGTTTGAGTAAGTACATAAATACTTAATGTATGCAAATAGGTTTTAAAATATCAGTTTTCAGTGCATTTGGATTTGCGTTACCTGCAATTGTGTGTGATTTTTCCAGCTCAGAAGGCAACTTTCTTCCTATGGCACCATGGTTAGCCCCAATTGTACGGGAAGGAACTTTTGATCCCACACTGATTGATGCAATTTATAAGAAACAAAACATCACCATAGCAACTGCAGTCTTCGCTCTTGGAAAGTGAGTTCCTTTTTTTCAGCGATCTTTATTTGCTATGTATAGTATATTTAAAGGTGCAGTAGGAGATCTTGGAAAATGCTAACTTTAGCCTGATAGCACTGAAAGCGAACGTCCCACCCTCCCTGCAATCGCCGTCCAAAGCCACGCCCCCTGAACGCATTTACGCTCACAGACCAGAGACAACATTACTACAATAGGCTACATCAGCGGTTCCCAATTCCAGCCCATGTTCCAAAGTGAAGTAAACTTCAACGGATTTCCCCCGCTCAGGGAGTAGGGAGCAATGTACATTGTGTAGGGATCATATCGATCGGAACACAGTTCATGCACGTAGCTCACTTCTAACCAGCTGGCACGAGGACTTGATTAACCGCTGGGCTACATCATGTGTCATTCACCGGTGAGAAAACTTTAAAAGTACTACAATACCAGGAAGGAAGATCGGGTTGTTGATGTTTGTCTGCCATTCTCGCTCTGTCTGCATGCGTGCAGTGAACGCGCTGATGACGTATCCTGTCTGCGCGAACCCAGAGCGTTTTGATTGGACGAACATTTCTTGATCCTACGCCTTCCACAGAATATATAAATACAGAGAAATAAATTTAGACCACTTAACTTAATGATTGCTATCGGGATGTGAAGAGACTTTCAACCAGCATAACAAAAAATGTTCTGAAGACAATCACCTATTGCACCTTTAAGGCACCTTTAAGGCAGAGTTCACCCAAAATGCTAGGGTCACAGTTGTGTACCTGCTTTATTTATTTATTTTTTATTTTTTTAAATATTTGTTTCGCTCATGCCTATGATTTTATGCCCTAGTTGTCTGCACCTAAACTAAAAGGCCTGTTTTATCTCTAGATATTGTTAAAATGTGTTATTTGTTAAATATTGGAGTTTGCTATATATTTGGGTTTTTTTCAGTTAAACTTGGGTTCTTTATGGCACTTTGCCTGGGCTATCATTACACCGACGCCTTTGTATTTTTTATGGGGAAAAATTTAATTGCCATCTAATATATAATTTTTCTAGCTCTCTCCTTCTGTTTTTCAGGTACACACAGTTTCTTAAAAATTTCCTGGAGTCTGCAGAGCAAAATTATTTTGTTGGATTTCGTGTGCATTATTACGTGTTCACCGATCTTCTGGAATTGGTTCCTGCAGTGAAACTTGGTGAAGACCATCATCTGACGGTGTTGACAGTGGCTAGTTCTAACAGATGGCAGGAGATCAGTTTGCGCAGGATGGAAAGGCTGGAGAAACTGATCGAACGTCAATTGGTCAATGAAGCCGACTACGTTTTCAGCCTTGATGTGGACACAAAGTTCTACGGGCGATGGGGGGCAGAGACTTTGGGTCGTCTTGTAGGTGCCATACATCCATGGTATTATAAAACCCATCATGATTGGTTCCCATATGAGCGCAGGCCCGAGTCTCAAGCGTACATTCCTTATTCTGAGGGTGATTATTATTATGGAGGAGCTGTGATCGGTGGCTTACTGAAAGATGTATATCAGCTTGCTAAAACCTGCAAGGAATGCCTGGACATTGATGCAGCTAAATCCATTGAGGCGGCATGGCAGGAGGAGTCTCATTTGAACAAGTACTTCCTGTATAACAAACCCAGCAAACTGCTTTCACCCGAGTATCTATGGGATGACATCAAATCTAAACCACAAGAGATAAAAATCATCCGTTTCTCTCAAGTTAATAAAAATTACTATGAAGTTCGTCCAAACCCATAGCAGCTGTTAAAGGGATAGTTCACCCAAAAATCAAAAATACCCCATGATTTACTCGCCCTCAAGTCATCCTACAGTACATGCGTGTATATAACTTTCTTCTTTCAGACGAATACAATTGGAGTTATATTAAAAAATGTCCTGGCTCTTCCAAGATTTATAATGGCAGTGAATGGCTGTTGAGATTTTGAAGTCCAATAAAGTGCATCCTTCCATCATAGAAAGTACTCCACATGGCTTCGGGGGGTAAATGCCACAAAAGAATGGCATTCCAGCGGATGATGTAGGACATAGGTGTAGAGTAAGCTCCGGTGAGAATATGCAAGTCTTGCGAGAATCAAGTTTTGTTTACAGCAAAGGACAATAATTCCCCAGACATTTTTCTGTACAAATCCTTGTTTTGTACCTCTAATTTGTGACCGTTGTTTTGTTTTGCTCAATTGAGGCAGCATTTAAAGGAATTGTTCACCCAAAAAATTAAAATTTGCTGTTATTTATCCTCAGTAGAAGACAAAAAATGATTTTTAGCTGATCCCATGATCCTTGTTGATTCATAATATACAAGTCATCAGGCACGTCACTTTGAGAGTCAAAAAAAGAAAAAAAACAAGAAATGAATCCTTGCAGCTCCTGACAATATATTGAGGTCTTATGAAGCGAAATTATCATTCTGTGTAAGAAGCTGAACATTATTTACAACATTTGTACCTGTAATCCATAGCCTCAGACAAATGGTCCTGCGCACTCGTGGCCGTAACCCTTATGTTTACAACATAGAGGGGAGGACATTTGTGCATTCTTATAGTTAATATGTGTGTGGGAATTAATTTAGTGACTGTTTAAAGAGCAGGTCATATGGGTTTTTGAAAAATATCTCTTTTGCAGTTTATAACATAGCTATCCTTAAATGAAGATAATCTTGATAGTATTAAAGAGCAGGTCATATGGGTTTTTGAAAAATATCTCTTTTGCAGTTTATAACATAGCTATCCTTAAATGAAGATAATCTGCAAAGTTGTTTATCCAAAAAGTGCATGATAAATAAAGATATTGTCTCTCAAAAGAGAGAGTCGATTCTGAATCGCCTTAACGAGGCCCATATTTTCTAATCTTTTGCCCGTTACCGGTATACGTCACTGGGTAACACATTTGCATAATCCCCGCCTGCCCGCAAGACTGACCTGCCCACAAACACTTCCGCTAGTTAGTGTGTTTACATCATGTTGAGAAGACGCTGTGTTCAAGGATACCACAGAAATACAATTCGAACCTTTTGTTGTGTGCTCATCATTTTACCGAGGACTGCTTCTCTAATCTTGTCTTTTATCTTCGTTGGCTTCTAATCTTCTTAATTTAGACTAACAAGCTCTCTGAACCACAACCTGTAAGTACGATTTTTTTTTTTTTTGTGCTAATATTTGTCGTTCTTCAAACATTACAGTAGACATATTTTGGTTTACAAACTGTATTGTTTCATCAGTTAGTCACGTTAGCACTCAGTTAACTATCCACCATTATTGTTTTAAGTGTTCACAGTTTAGCAGCTAAACTTTAGCTGTGGGCACGATTCGCTTGCATAAGTGTTTTTTGTATTTTATGTCATTATTATAAGAACGGATTGAAGCACTATATTATTGTTTTATGCAAAGGTACTTTGTCAATGGTAGCGCTCGCTAACTTGCTCAAGGACTCCTCTCTGTGCCAATCACAACAGGCTTGGCCAGCTGACTAATCAGAGCAGAACAGGCTTATGGAAGGGAAGGGTTTACTCCGAACTTGCTTGGAACGAATCGTTTCGAAATCATTGGCAAATTACTCTAATATTAAATGTATATTCTGAGAAAATTACAATGTTTTCTGACCTTAGATGCATTTAAACCTGTTGTAGGGGTCTCCAACACAATATTAGGACACTTTAAAATACCATATGACCTGCTCTTTAAAGTTGTTTGCAAAATAATCCCTGACCGTTACATACAAACTGAATTACTTTGATTTAACGTGAATATTATGTGTCTACACCAACCAGTGCGCATGTGCAGTCCTGATCGCGTGTCTCAGAACACTGACTGTTTCTAAAGGCAACTACAGTGACACAATGACTTTACCAGTTAGCGACTAGCTCTTTTATTTAGAAGGCCATACTATTCCGCTATGTTGCGAATTGCACTTTCTCTAATTCAGAAGTAGCCTAATATTAGCCTACAGTTTTGTTAATTGATCTAATTCTGTGTCTCTGGAAAAGAGTGATCTATGACATTGTATTTTGTTGAATGTTCAAGTTTTTTGTCTATTTGTTAATGAGGGATTTGTGAACACATGAATGTTTTTAGATTTGTGGAGTAAATATAAAATTAGACAATTTTGGTAAGATAACCCCCAAGAATTGGCACATACAGTGCACAGCATAAATTAGTACACCCCCTCTAAAACTTAACAAATTCAGCAATTACTCTTTACTTAGAAGACATGTTAAGGTTCTTTGGAGATATAATGTTCCAACAAGCCTGCTTGATCAATTACCCAAGAAGAATGCAAAAATTATTCAGCAAAATAAGATTTTCTTATCAAAGTGATACAATTTTGTGTTGCAAAAATGAGCACACCCTCCTGAAAGTTACTAAATAAAACAAAAAAAAAAAAAAATAAAAAAATTCTGGTGTAAGGTTAAGGCAAGTATTGATCAACAGGTAGGTATGTTGAACCAAAACAGGTAAGTAATTTCTTGATAATTTAGTGTTATATGGCCCACTGAATCATACTCAGACTTAATGCTGAAAACAATGAAACCACTTGAGAGAGAACTGTCAGGAGATTTTTTTCTTAGCATAAAAGAGGACAATGGTACAAGAGGAATACCAAATTATTGTTTTAAGTGTGAAAATATAGCAGAAGTAGCACCAACATTCAAAAACAATGGACTTGTGATAAGGCTTCTGAAATAATCAGGTCTTCACTTTAAGTTTTCATTTAGTAAGTGATGAGTGAATTTTTGCTAGAAAAAGAGCCGGAGAAATAACATGCAAGTGTCTCAGAGCCGGCAAAAGCTATGAAAAGAGTGACACTTTATCTCACAGAGTATGACGCAGCATGCAGAAGTGACATGCATGGTTGTTGTCACCACTAGAATTACCGACTGTAGCCAAAGCAAAATAAACTAATTTAACCTCTTCCAGAGCCCATATTTACAAAATAGAGACTTCTGGGAATCCATACTCTGGTCTCAAGAGACCAACTCAATCATTTTGGATCCAAAAGCATCCAAAATGTTCTGGTGTTGCTAGAGGAGGAGTACAGTGAGAAGTGCTTGGTACCCACAGTGAAGTTCAGTGGTAGTAAAACTTTTATATAGAGATGAATGAGTGCTGAAGGTGTGAGGGAGTTGTGCTTTATCAATGCTTGCATGAATTCACACACCACTGTGTGATGTAATACAAAAATTTGTGGACATGTATTTTGTCGTCCAGGAGTTAAACAGGACAGATGTGAAAATTTGTCATGAACTTGTACACTCAGTGCCAAGAAGGATCAGAGCAGTAAGTTCTGGAGGACATATTAAGTACTAGAATATTATACATTTTCTGAATGAAATCTAGGGTGTTTTATTTTGTTGTTTTTATTAAGTATATGTTTAATATGTTTCAATTTTGCCATCTTTCCATGAATTATATAAATTATATTAGTGATCATTAAGAAAATACATCTTTTATATTTATTCAGAGTAGGGCTGTGTATCACCAGCAAAGTCACGGTACGGTACATATCACGGTACCGAGGCCACGGTACGATACATACCACGATACAGAACTGCACTGAATTTCACCTCAGCAGAATTTAGCAAGCATATAGGTTAACATGAGAGAACTTTTGAGTTTCATCAGTTGTTTCCTGATGAGCAACCGTCAGAAAGGCTACAAGCATCGTTCCTGGCTCAAATATTCTGCTGTGAGATTTTAACTTTTGATGAGCTTGAACTCTGTTCAGTTGGAATTAATAATCAAAGCTTTACAAGTAGGATTTGAAATGAGAATTACTGTGTGTAGTAGGGCTGTGTATCACCAGCAGTGTCACGATACGTATCACGATGCAGAGGCCACGATACGATACGTATCACGATACGGGACTGCACTGCACTGAATTTCACCTCAGAAGAATTTAGTAAAACAGCTGTTTATTAAACACTGTATACTATAGTGCGATTTTTAACTATTGGCAGAGCAGGCAGTTGACCTCTGCATTATGAAGGACCTCCATAACTGTACCACAGTACAATATAGGTAATGGCATGTGTTTCATGTTTACATTGGGCACTCCCCACCAGGTACAATGTTCTGATTGTTTGCATCTTGTTTTTAAGCCCATAAATAATAATGTACTCGTTCTAATACATTTATATTGTACTCATTCTAATATATAAAATATATTTAAAAAATCACTTACATTGCTGATAGTGTCACAAATCAAGCCTCTGTGGCTCCCTCCGATCACCACCAGAGGGAATCGTCGCCGGACTACTAACTGTTCTTAAGGACTTCATTTCCCATCACCCCATGCCTGAGACTGATTACCTGCACAGGTGCTTATCATTATCATGACTATTTAATCAGTGCCTACCATACCCTTGTTGTGAAGTCTTTTTTTTGTTTTTTGCTACTGCTGACATCTCTGAGTGTTTATACCTTGTTTGATTACCTGTTGCCTACCTGGATTGTCTAGACCTGTCTGATCGTTCGCTGCCTGCCTCTTTGACCTTGCATTATTATTGGATTTGTTGTCTTCTCTGTCTGCCGCCTGCCTCGACCCTTTGCATGGACTCAGGTTATGATTTTGCCTTGCCTACGTTGCCCTTGTATACTGTTGATTGATCTTTGCCTGTCTGTTTGTTAATAAAGCTGCACATGGATCCCAACGTCACTGAATCCTCATTACA